AGTGGGAAGGCCTACATCGCCAAACAGCTCCGTAACGGGGACGCAGACCCGAGGCAGAGGCCGCAAGAACCGGGAGCAGAGGAGCAGAGGCCTCTGCCAAGCCGGAAACTGTGGAAGCAGCTCGGAGCTGGCAATGCACGCAGCGGCAGAACCGAGATGCCACGAGGGAGAGAGAGGCACCAGGATAAGAGGTAGACCTGGGAGCCCCAACAATTAAAACAAGCCTCAACCCTAAAACCCTAAAGCCTAAAACCCCTAAACCCTGAGGGACAGTATCGGCAGCACCTTTCATTTGCCTCATCTGACGGACCTGAATGAATAGCGGCACCTCCGTCAGCATGCGCTGATCACCGGGCTGCGGCGCCTCCTTTGGGCGCGCTTTGGCCCGCGGGGCCCACCTAAGCAGGTCCCCAGATTCATTCACGATGTTAGGGTTCAGAGGTTTAGGGTTTAGGGGTTTAGGGGTTTAGGGTTTAGGGCTTATGAATCGAAACTCCCCAATCCTCAAAACGGCTGCAGCTCATGGGAAAACTGAAAGACTCTATTCCCTAAACCCAAAACCCGAGTGTTGGTTTCGGGCTCACGCTTCCAAAATGCACCAAAGCCTCACATGACTCAAACCCTAGACCCGACACCCTAAACCCGAAACTTTCTGATCCCGACAACCCCAAACTTCAAACCATAAATGCAAAACCCTGAACCCTAAAGCCCCATCCCAATGCCTCACAGGCCTACATCGAGGCTTCAGTCGCCTTTGAGGTCTCAGAGTCTGGGCTTAGGGTTCAGGATTGGGGGGCTTCTGGGTTTGGGGGCTTAAAGGGGACAGGGTTTTGAGGTTCGGGGGATGAACTCTCGACAAGTGAATGTCCTAGGCATGTCGCTTGAATCTGACGCCAAACGGCAAAGCTCTTCTTGAAAAGAACCTAGAAACCCTACACCCTGAACCCTAAACCCTAAACCCTACACCCTGAACCCTTAAGACAAAACTATGCAAACCCTCAGCTGCATGCCCGGTGACTTTGCCCATGAGTTCTGCGGGGCGGCCGCTGGGTAAGCCGACCTGATGGGTGTCTTTCTATATTATACATGTCTAATATATCTTATATGCGATGTGTTAACCCTTCAGACTGTATATCATGCATTATGCACTGGATTATATATGATGTTACTCTTTGGCGTGGGCTGGTTGTCGGATTCGGAGCTTACGAGGATATTTAGGGATTCATGCCGCTGGCATCACCCGACAAGAAGAAGCCACAAGCTAATCATGATGAAGCCCTGTCCTCCTGCGATCAAACACTGACGACCCCTGGCCTCTGACTCAGAACAACCGCGTTTGGGGTTTAGGGTGTAAGGTTTAGGGCTTATGGGGTCTATGGTTTAAGGTTTAGGGTTTAGGGTGGCACTAGGGATTCAAATGCCAATTTGGCAGCCTTTTGGCTCCGATGGCGGGTGCAGCTGCGGCTTCAGCCATCGGCCTACGAGACGGCTTGCTTCGATGTGATGATGAATATATATATATATATATATATATGCACTATGGTATATGATATGATATATATGATAAGAGAGAGAGTGAGAGAGAGAGAGAGATATATATATATATATGGGGATATATCGCGTGCTATGATTATGAATCGTTTTTAGTTTTATTCTTGTTATTGGGGGACCCTTGTAGTACCTTTATATACAGACCCCTTATAGAACCCGAATCCGCCAAGTGCCCTTATAGTACCCTTATGGAACCATCATAATACCCTTACCGTACAGGTCTCAGGCTACGGCCTGAAGCCTAGGAGGTGCTGGGACTGTATCTGCCTATGCCAACCCGAGCGCCTGTGCGTGGATGCCGGAACCGCGAAGGCTTGCACAGCAATACATACATCAGTTATGGAACTTAACTTTGAGTTGCTCGGGTTTTCAACCATAGTGCTTGGATTCTGGAGCGAGAGCGTATATGGGTGCGATGGCAGGTGTTCTGGGGTTTTCGACAGAAGAGAACGAATAGCGAAGCTTCAGGTACAACCAAAGCGGCAACCTAAATGCACAACAAGGAATGAGCCTCTTTCTCGTCGAAGCTCCAATGGGCGGCCTGCGATGGAAGCTTGGGTCAACTGAAGTATTCATGAGCCAGCCTAGGCCATGGAAAGCAACACAAAACCCACTATGACTCGGGCTTTCGGAGCTGAAGGCCAGTGGTTGGTAAGCTGCAGTGCCGGCCCCAATAAGACAACTATATAAGATCGGGGGAGAGGTGGCGGTCCATGCCACACATTGGTTATCGGCATAACACTATGACATGTTTATAAATGTGTATATATATATATACATATATATATATATACATACTAATAACATACTAACAACATATAAATACATATAACTATATATATATATTGTACTAGGGTTTGGGCCGGTTTAGGCTTTTGCTTCACTCGTGTGCCAGAACATCTCTTCCGCTCACCCGGAGCGTGAAGGAAGATTTGCCAGCACGAGTCATACGGGCACAGGTGACCTCTGCATGCAGAAACTGAGACCAATGTGTATAGATAACTCTGCCATCGAGGCCGTCTAACCATGTCAACCCTTCAAGCCTCAATGCCAGATCCCTCCCATTCCCCGAAGCTACAACGCAAGCCTGCTGCTGCGGGGTGGCACCGTTACGGGCGCGGCTTTGGAGGGAGTGGAGGCCTCCCTCCTCTTCAGGAGTTGCGGATTGAAAAGCTCAGTTTAGGAGTTTCGTGTCGCTAAACACCAGCCCCTAAACATCCTACAGCCTACCCCCAAACCCAACCGTTCGGGCACAAGAAAGACGTATCACATTCCACCAGCGAGTTCCCCAGGTCTTCGTCTGCCTGTGTCCGCTCACTTTGAAATCTAATGGAAGATCCTTAGGGTTTATATTTAGGGTTTAGGGTTTAGGCTTTATAGGGTTTACTGGAAGATGTGGGGCTATTTCCTGATAAGTTTCTAGAAGCGACATCAGATTGTAGGAACTATAAGAGGGCAACACTTCAAACCGTCAGGTATATTATACGACCACCCCATGAAGACTGAAAGGGCCATCTTGGTTTCAAAGATTCATACGTATATCTGATGCCCCAATCCGATATTCTGCTTCTACAACGAGCCCGTAAGCCATGAAATCACGAGGAACACCCCAAAATCGAAGTCTCCAAATCACTCAAAACTCTGCGGAACAAGCCTATTCAAGATCAAAAAAAAAACTTCCCTCGACCAAAGACCTGCTCCTGCCCACGAAGCCCCCGTCCTGCCCAGAAGTGGTGTAGCAGGCGTTGCTTCTGCCCTGGTCAGGCTGTCAGGTTGCTGGGAGTCTTTGGGATTTACCTATAGTCTCCATTGTAGTTCCTTTTTGCGGATACCTTATAGAATCCTTAATATATATATATATATATATTTATTTATTTATTTATTTATTTATTTATATTTGGTTAAACCAAAAAAAGGAACTGCAATGGAGACTATAGGTAGGCGCAAGCTCTACCGATTTCACAAGCTCCTTTTCTCAGGCCACCTTGATCAGGAAGTCCAGATTTGTGAATAAGGTGTTTTTTAAAGCACCTTTTTCCACCTAGCAGTGAAGGTCGGTAGAATCCGCATTTGTGACTAAGGTTTAGGGTTTAGGGTTTAGGGACATTGAAAAAATAGGACAAGAGGATACGCAATCTTCGACATTCCTGAAACCCACAAACACCTCTAAAGCCACCAAGTCTGCACTCCGATTGCCCGAAACCCTAAACTCGACTGCCGTATCGCCACTATACTACACCTTAGACCCTGAAGCTGCGCCTTGCAAGCCTTGAAGCACGAAACCCCAAAACACCCCAAACCCGTCTACCCTGAACCATCAAAGCCCTAAACTGCTGCATGAACCCTAAAGCCCAAACGCTCTGACCCTAAACCCTAAACCCTGAGCTCTGCCTCTCGGAAGAGGCCGCCAGCATCTCTGAAGACTCAGCCGGAGCTGTCCTTAGGTTCTCAAAGAAAAAACGGCTTAGGCTTTGGGGCTTGCTTGTAGGATTTAGGGTGGTTTGGGGTTTAGGGTGTTCGGGCTTTGGGATTGGATTATCGTTCAGGGTCTCGGGTAGAGCGCGAAGACTTGGCTGATGCCGAACACTGGTACGGTAGCTTCTGCAGTCCTGGCCATGCGGACTCGAACCTTCCCTGCCACAGGGGTTGAGGGCGTGATATGTAGTCGGACAGATGATTTCAAAGCGAACCACCGACAAACACCCTGTAGCACATCTCACCACAGTCGTCATTTACATGCTTGCCCTTCGGTGGCGCAGGCAAGGCAGCTCCAAAGCGAACCAGGCGGCGGCGTCCGGTTCTTTACCATCCTTGGTTGTAACATGTTGCTGATAAATGCACAAAACCCTACAGAATCCTCAAATAGACTATCCCTAATTTTAGAGAGCCTTATACACTATAATTAGACTGTAGACCCTTTTAAGGAACTTTATATGCAGTAGTAAACAGATAGGAAGACACAGGGACCGAGACGTAGAGACTGAGAGGGCACATGATGTAGAGGAGGCAAAGGAGGAGCGCAACGGAAGTACTAAGACTATACTAAATCAGATTACACTCTACTGTACTACAGTCTACTCTACTCGACTCTACTATTTATACTATGAGTCCCCTTCCTCGGAGGAGAAATCCAAGAGTTCTGAGTTCTGAGCCTCAGATGCCCAAAAAGCCCACACCCTGTTAAGGCGACTCATAGCATAAATAGTAGAGTAGAGTGGAGCAGAGTGGACTCTAGTATAGTATAGAGTTCCCCTGACATAAAACCCCTACAACAAAACCCCTACAAAAGCCTCTCCAACCAAAAAATCCCTTATTGTAACAGACAGCTGGGCTCCTCAGCACCCCCCAACTACCCTCTATTATACCCTAAATACCCACTATTAAGGACCATAAGGGCTCTATTAAAGGGTACTTGGGGGGTGCTGGCCAGGCTTGTGCCTAGGTGCGGCCTGGCTTTGGACCGAATAGTGGATTTCGGAGCGCCGGCAGCGAGTCGCCGGGCGAAGAAGTCCTGCACCCGGGTCAGAACCGAAGGGGAGTCCTAGGTTTAGGGTTTGCACGCCTCTATGG